AATGTCCAGCTTTCTTTTCTTTTCATTCTTAACAGTAAACGAGAAAAATATGAAAAACAGATRAAAGAGCTCCAGGATGAGAATCAAATGAAAGAGAATCAAATCATCGAACGAAACAAGGAGGTACAATACAACGCTTTTCGAGTTTTATTGATCAACGTCTTTTCRSTCACCWTGTTCTCAATTTAGCTCACGCGATATTTAACAATTATTCGCAAAAGAAGGCGAAGTGAATATCGGGGAATATTTACCAAGCGATTTTTCGAACGGAGAGGTAAATATTCCTGATATTCACTAAGCCTGAGGTGAACAATTGGTTTAGTATTTTTTTTTAACACAGGCGAATTTAATAAATAACGAAAAAAAAAAGAATTGTTCTGTCGACATTTTTTCAAATATGCCTTCACTGCTTTATTCACTAGTCTCCTACGCAGCYGCTATTAGTTTCGTCACGCAACACTTACTCCCCTAAGTAGCTTGGTAGCTAAGTAGCTCCCTACTTAGGGGAGTGAGCGTGGCGCGAAGAGACTAATAGCGGCTGCTTAGGAGACTAATTATTCACCTGTAGGTGAATATAGCAGCATAAGACGTAAAWTGTGATCAATGATTGCGCCTGATTCATTATTTTCACTTGTGTAAAAATACTACAACCTAGTTATCCCTTGTCATCTTTTTGCTATATATTCCTGATTTTTTTTTGTTTTTTGTTTTTTGCCTCACCTTACACCATTAAGATTGAAGTCTTAAAAGAAGAACTCGAGGCAGCTAAAGAAGCCAACGAACGAGCTCCTACTCGTACCATGAAACAACTGGTTGAACGATTAAGGAACCAGCTGGCACTCAAAGAAAAACAGCAGAAGGTCAGTCAGCCATGCTTYTCTTTGCCTCGCCGTAGGCTCTTAGAATCGTCTTGCTTTGTATTACTAACTTGTTCTTTTGTGTGTATTTTATGTTGACTTCAGTTTGTTTTGTATCTTCGTCCTTGCGTCTTTTATTTTTCATTTATCTTACATCGTATGCTTTTGCGCCAGTACCCTCTGTTAGCCATTTTTTAAATCCGTTTGCTAATCTATTCTTCTCTGTTTATTCCTTCCTTTGTCCTTCTATTCGTCTGTCTGTCCGTCAATTTGTACATCTATTCGTCTGTCTGTCCATCCCTTTTTCCTTCTATTCGTCTGTCTGTCCATCCCTTTGTCCTTCTATTCGTCTGTCTGTCCGTCCCTTTGTCAATCTATTCGTCTGTCTGTCCGTCCCTTTGTCAATCTATTCGTCTGTCTGTCCGTTTGTTCATCTGTCTGAGAGTTTGTTTGCGTGTCTGTCCATTCTCCTGTCTGTCTATATCCGTTTCTGTAATTCATTTGTAGGTTTGCTTTTTTCTTAGTCCATGTTTTGTTTGTTACTTTCTCTTTTATTTATGTAGTTATTTCGATGAAGCCGGTTTGATTTCTCTTGCAGTCTTTAAGCCAAGCTTTGCTTCAGCTCAGAGCGGACATGGTTACAGCYGCTGAAGAAAACGTACAGGTAAGGACTGTTGCCCAAGAGGGGAGAAGGGCGGGTGGAGAAAGGAATTACCCAAGGGGGAGGGGGAGCGGCCGGTGATGGGAACCAACCATGGGGGAGGTTGATAATAGGGACCACCCAAAGGGGAGCTAGGAAATAACAAATATTACTATTACTCTATGGTTATGGATCTAAACAAAAAAGTATTTTGGATTTTAGGTCCATGCGAATCGAGCGGAACAGGAAGTGAACGTGCAGCAGTTAGTGGACAAAGAGACTTCCGGTCTGCAGGTACCATTCATTTACATGCTTACACTTAATGAATAAACATATGTGCAAAGCGACATCTCATCGTTAMTTATCTATTTGACAACCATCACTCCCCKTACGGGGACTTTGCGTGAGGTTTACTCTACACGCACTACCACTACATTCTCTATTTACAAGGTCACACAACACTCAACTCAGATGTTGATTTTTACGGAGGGAGGAAAACCGGAGAAGCTGGTGGAAAACCCKTATTGCAAGGSAGAGAACRACACATCAAACAAACTCAACTCACATATGTRGCTCAAACGGGAATGGAACCTGCGACCCCAGGCATGAACCACAGGGCGATGATGGACAGCGCCGTAGCAGCGCTTGYCAYCCTCATTGYACTTATTTTGGACCATCATTTATGTTGCAATACTCTACGTTAATTACTTATTCAGGGGCGGATAGAAGAGTTGCAAGAAAGAATGGAAAAACTGAAACGAGAATTGAAAAAGCAGAAAGAGAAAGAAGCGTCCCTTGAACAAGAAAAAGATAAGCTTAAACAGGTAAAACAGGTTTTGTCACGTGGTGATGGCCATCTTGGACCATTGACATCATTTATTTGTTTGTTTGTCTATTTTTTCGTTTTGCTTGGAATAGGAGTCTTCTAAGAAAGATTCTGCGCTAATCAAACTTGGTGCTGAATTGAAGGAGTTGGAAAAGATCGAGGAAAGACTGGAAAGCAGAGAAGAAGAACTGGCCGAAGAAAAGAGAAAAGTAAAGAAAGAAATGATTCGATTTTTTTAGTACCGTATACTTCCTGTTGCTCTTGCTGCTGCTGCTGATCTTGTTGCTGTTGTCGTCGCTGTTGTTGCTGGTGCTTCTGTTGTTGCTGGCGCTTCTGTTGTTGCTGCTGCTGTTGTTGTCGTTACTGTTGATGATGCTGCTGCTGCTACTAATTGTTACTTCTGTCTTTACTGATGTTACCCTTGGTGTTGCTGCTGCTGTTGTTGTCGTTACTGTTGATGATGCTGCTACTGCTACTTATTGTTACTTCTGTTTTTACTGATGTTACCCTTGGTGTTGCTAATGCTGCTGTTGTTTTCGTCGTCGTTGCTGTTGTTGTTGGTGGTGGTAGTTGTTTAACACTAGAGTTCAAGAATAGGACAAACGTCTTGTCTTCGGGGTTTGTTTAGGTCGTACGTGCTGAATCTGAAATAGAAAAGCTACGTAAGAAAATCCAGTCCTTACAAACCCAGATATCAGACGGAGACATTGTTGCAGTCGAGACAGAAGAGGTAGAGGGAGCAGGTCCACGCACAGCAGACACTCAACAGGAACAAAAGGTACAGTATCTAATACAATCAGAGTTGATTTAAATGATGCTTGCTATGGGTATAACAATCAAAACCTTAGTTTATGCTTCAAATTTTATCAAGCCCTTTGAACAACCTCTTGGCTGATCAAAGTCATGGTGGGATAATTCACAGATCGAACCCTGAAACGATCTCTGGGCTGATCTAAGTCAGGGCATGGCTAACTCACAGATTGAACCCTGAAACGACCTCTGGGCTGATCAAAGTCAGGGCATGGCTAACTCACAGATTGAACCCTGAAACGACCTCTGGGCTGATCTAAGTCAGGGCACGGCTAACTCACAGATCTAGCCCTGAAAACAGCTCTGGACTGATCTAAGTCCCCGGGGGTCTAAATCAGGGCATGGCTAACTTAAAGATCGAACCCTGAAACAACCTCTGGGCTGATCAAAGTCGGGGCACAGCTAACTCACAGAACAAACCCTGAAACAACCTCCTTACAGATTGAACCCTGAAGCAAAATCTGGGCTGGTCTTAGTTATGGTGGGCTAACACAGATTGAATCAGAGAAGAGATCTAACAAGCTACTCACACAAAAGGCGGTGCCTTTTAAAAAAGGTACGGACGGGTGATATCTCACCCCTTGCCTCTAACCTCTTTGGTTTGGTTCGATATTGAGAGGAGTTGCTCATTGGCCCTCTGCAAAAACCAACTCCCAAGTTCCAATTCGTTCATGTAATGAGAATGACAGGTTTATTAGCCACTGTGAAACCAGAACGATTTGTTGTTTTCAGCCAAGCAAAAGTAACGTAGAAATAGCAAGGTGGGAAGAAGGCAAAAAATGGCAAAGAAAAGTAGAAAACTTACGTGAGAAACTCAACGAGAAAACCAAGGAATTAGAAAAAGCTGACAAAACCAATAGTATGATGAGAGAAGCGTTAAAACGAGGTGACAAGGACAAGACTGGTCTACAAAGCAGACTTAAGAGGTAGGTCACGCAAGAAAATGATGTGACGTCACGTTATGATGTCATGCACAATACACTGCTAAGAAGCAGTATCCTCTCTCGAACTTGAGTTTACGCAGAATGAAGATCTTTTGTTATAGGGTTGGTAGGTCACGCAAGAAAATGCTTTGATGTCACGTTATGATATCATGCACAATACACTGCTAAAAAGCAGTATCCTCTCTCGAACTTGAGTGTACGCAGAATGAAGATCTTTTGTCATACAACCCTTTTCCTTAAAGCGAACAAGCATCAGTTAGAATCCTGAAACAACCTGGAGGCCATATGTTAAGTGTATGCTACATCGAGTGTATAAGCAGATTAAAAAATGTGCCTCAGTTGGAGGCTGATTTTAGAAACTAATAAAATTGAAAAGAACGATGTGAATTCTGCGTAAATTCCCCAGCCAACGCAAGAAACTGCTTCTACATCGGTCTCAGGTCTTGTTGATGACATCTTTTCATTCTTTCGTCAGTGCTGCACGAGTAGGAAGCACCCCTGTTGCTCCTCCGTTAGCTGATGACCTCGTTCAAGATCTTAAACACAAGATATTCACTTTAGAGGAACAGGTATGGAAACTAGTTATTGGAAGTATTTCACACACACTAGATTATTAATAGTGGTTTTCTCGACTAGACCAACAAGATGCATTCTGGTCTAGCTTGGGTACAAACAGCATCGGGCTTGCCAAAACTCCAACAATTTAGTCTTTCATTTCTTGGCGAAGACCAAATAGACCTGCGAGGAAAAAAATTGTACGAGAAAGAAAGAGTTGTAGACCGAGGACTTGATTGATGTTCTGCTTCAGTAATGATAAAAGGGTAAATTTAACACCGTGAAAAGATGAAAAAACTTACTGACGTTTCGGACGCTAGTCCTTCGACGGAGTAAAAGAGAAAGAGGTGGTAGAAAGGAGTGCTTATATGATAGAACAAGACAAAAGAAACCAATGAGAACAAGGTGGGAAAGGAAACGAACGAAACAAACAATCAAAAGAGAAAAGAGTGGGTTAGTTAAAAACAAAGCGTTCATTAATCCTGTTAGGACTAAGAGTGCCCAATAGGTGAATAATCCGCATTTCCGCATTAATGTTCTGCTTCATTATGTCCAGTTTTTCTTTCTTTTTCTTTTGCATGTACTGTAACATCATGTCGGCTATGTTGGTAGTATTATAAAATATTTCTCATCAGCCCTCTCTTATAATACTTTTAAATACCATCAGCATGGCCGCAACGTCTTTGACTTTTGACTCTCTTGACCATCAAATTGCTTGCTTTTTCCTAGAACCAAGATTTGAACCGCCAGCTCGTCCTGGGTCGTGACAGACAAATGGAAGCACTACAGCTTCGTAATAATCAACTAAAACAGGCTGTTGAATCCTTGGAAGATGAACTGACAAGACGAATGGATGACCAGGTGAGGAATGGGGCCTTGAAAACAGACCTTCAAATTTATATTTAAAATCCTTCAAATGAAATTGAATCGGGATACCATGAAAGAGCCTGCGAGGGTGAACTGAGTAAGGACACGGCTAAATGAAGGATTGACTTCGGATTTAACGCGTTAGGCTTTGCAGAGGGAGGAAAACGGGAGAATCCGCAAAAATACAAAAAACAAAAACAAACAAAGAAAACAAACTTGAATCAATTGAGAGAACTAACAAACTCTACTCACATGTGATAGTGAATCAAGGAATCGGACTTGGGAGCCCAGAGGTGAGAGGCGAATGCCCTACTGCCCTACTCCTACACCATCCTTCGCCCTCATTCGTTGTGCTTTTGGATACGTTATATTTATTTGYATCGTATTGATGTTGTTTTACAGCGTACTATAGACCAATCGGACGCGCAGCTGTTCAAGGAAACTCACGAAAAGAGTCAGTCTTTACAGAAACAACTGCTTGAGGCAAAAGAGGTTTGTCTGTAACAGTCTCTTTCACAGTTCCCTGCGCCATCTTGAAAGGCACGGTTACCTTTCAAGATGGTGGAGGGAACTGTGAAAGGGACTATTACCATATTGGGCTTCCTGTGACAAACCAAGACCACAGGAATTCCAACAATTCTTTGCTTGGAATTTAAAAAAAAAACATTAAAAGAACTATTGGTTTTTTGTTTTTACTTAGGAAAATATGGAGCTGAGATTCGAATACGAGCAGGCAAGGAAAGAAAATCCTCGTCTGAAGGTTTGTTTTTATTATGTTAAAATGCCAGATTAACGATTACGTTAGGAATATCTTGTCATATTATAATATTTCACTGCTTTATTTTGATAATATTTTTTGATGTTTAGTGTTGTATTTTTTTCTCTATTTTCGCAAGGCTCGTGTTGATGACCTCCAAGAATATGTTGAAATATTAAAAGCAGAACTCGAAGCCAGYAAGAAAAGAGAAAAAGCCAGAAAGGTAAATATTTCTACAAGGAGAAAAACAAACAACTTGCGAGCCAAGCATAGCGTATCTCCCAAGTCTGAWCTAAATATCTCGATATTCTACGGGATAGCTTTGACTAGTTTCCCAAGGGTCTAAGCTCTGACCAAATTGAGCTAAATCAAGTCAAAATAAGCTTTAAATTTTGTATATCTGAGCATTAAAAATATCTTGTGGGGACGCATGATAGAGTTGTGGGGACTTAAAGAACTTCATTGACTCGTAAATATATGTTGGTCTAGATGTATTTTAAAGTTTACACGAAATATTTGTCATGCAATTGGTTCAAAATGTGAGCTATGATATAAGTATTTTGGGGACTTTTGTTCAGTTGTTTATGAATTTGCTGTACTTTAACAGATGGAAAAAAGGTTGTTTTACGACAATGACATCTCCACGAGTTGAGTCGTTATGTAAATTCCATTAACCTAACAGGCAATGTAAACAACCAGTTAGCTTAAGGTTTTGTCGTTATTATTCTAGTTTGTTCTTGAAATTATTTAGCTTGAGACCTCTATTAGGGTTTATGATTTAGCAAGACGTGTTTAGTTGGAGCAAATGTAGAGAAAGTTTGACTTACGTGATGCATAAACGATAAGGCTTCATTCAGTAGTTCGGTAACCATAGCAGCCATGGTGGATTTTATTCACTAATCTCGATTGATCTCTGGTTTGTTTAATGAGACAGAAAAGCATAATTCTGTAAAGCTTTCGTGAATCGAACATTTCTCGTAATACAGAATCCTAATAAAATTTCAAAATATAAGCATTTGGGCTTCCTGTGGCAAAAATCAGAACCATAGAAATCTATTATTTTTGTTGTTGTTGTTGTTATAGTGAGGTTTACAGTTTTGTGTAAGAAAAATTAAAATGAAGTTTACATTATTATTATTAACTTTTTTTACGCTTTCGATGATGAGATTAAACTTGGGTTTCCTGTGGTGATAGATAGCTCTCTCGCCCCAGTTTCTCCACGGTCATAGCATGAAGTTTCCTTTGTATAAAAGTAATGCAATTTTTTAAAATTTATTTTAAATTTATTTTTTTTATAGAAAAATCTTGGTACTGGTCTTGGGGGACAGAGTGTAGAAGACATGGAGCGAGTGTTAGCAGCCATGAGGAGAGTAGTAGAACGACTACAAGGTGAAAATGAACAACTTAAGAAAGCACTAGGGGCCGGTGGGCCTCAGTACTCTGCAATGATGAAGGAAAACCTTAGACTCAAGGTAAGTTACTACTTACCTAATAGAGTAGTTTTCGACATGCCTTAACACTTAAATGGCTTCCCTTAGGAGTAGTCTCATAGTATGGGTGGGAAATGTACGGTACTGACTTACGTACAATTGCATGGTACGACATGCCGCAGCATTGAAATGGCTTCCCTTAGAAATAGTTTTAGTATGGGTGGGAAATGTACGATACTGACTTACAGCACGTACAATTACATGGTACGACATGGTAGCATTGAAATGTGGCTTCCCACAGGAATACTTTTCGTATGAGTGGGAAGCGTGCGGTACTAACTTACACGGTACAGCATGCCGCAGCATTGAAATGGCTTCCCAGAAAAAGCGTCTCTGTAACTGTGATACGTACGGTACGGACTTACATAAAATTTAAGGGGGTCCTTATTGACTTTCTGTGACGTCAAAGCCGCCATGTTAGATGAATCTTTCAGATTCCAATTTGGCGTCACGTCCAATTTTCCAATCTTTCTAGTTATTTATTCCTTATTTTGGTGCTCCACAGCAAGAGCTCGAACGTACACGTGTGGCGGCTGCTTCTACTTCTCCTCGTGTCTCCTTGACAACACTGGCTGCTGGGGATCGTAAAAATACAACYAAACTAATGACCGAAAATGAAAAACTCCGAAAAGACCTTCAAAAGGTGATAGAAACTTTGATATTGTAACAAAATACTCCAGTTTCGAATCTCTGTTGCTCTAGATTAGCATGATTAGTTTCAAAAACGAGCATTGTAGCGAGAACGGCGGTGACTTCTCTATGGTAGAGACGTGAATAATTGTTCAAGGTGTTAAACATGTCTCTATTATTGCAAAGTCCTCGCTTCGATTCACAAGCACGGTTATTTTTCAAGATGGAACGGTAAACTCTCAAGGGACTTTTCTATAAAACTAAGAATAATTTTAATTGTCGATGGCATTTTTTTTGTGTATGTTTGTTTTACTCAACAGACCTAGTAGCTTGGGCGTAATGTTTTCCCATCTCAAACCACGTGTCATTTCTTTGTTTAACAGTTGCAAATGAGAAGACAGAGTAATAGACCTCTTTACCTTGGGCGTAATGTTTTACCATCTCAGACCACTTGTCATTCCCTAGAGTAATATTGAAGAAATAAAAAACGCGCGCGCGGGCTGTGTGGGGACATAAAGAACGCGGGGGTTGGCTGAACACGAGAGAAGTGTTAGGAGAAGCACGACGCGAAGCGGAGCGCTTCTACCAATCCCCGAGTGATTTATGACAGCACACAGCACACCAAGCAAGTTTTTTATTCCTTTTATAAAATACAAATTACAATAATAGATAGGAATGACGCAACGGAAAGTGCGCGCGCGTGTAATGTGCTCTTATAAAGCACGCGCTCTAAACCAATCAGAACGTGACATTCATAACAGTTATTTTATAATTCTTTTTTCAACGGTTGCGCACGAGAAGACATATGAATATGGATACAACTTAAACAAAGAATCTTATTTTCAAGAGAATGACACGTGGTCTGAAATGGAAAAACATTGCACACAAGGTAAAGGTCTATTATTACTTAGCCTGTTATCTGAATGACTGGTTTTTTCCCACAGGAAAAGGAAGAAAGTGAAAAACTACGCGTGTCTGTATCAAATATTGAGAGCACTAAGACGGAACTAGTACAAGAACTTGAACAGGTATTTACAGTATTTGTGTGTTAAGTTACAGGGCTTAGTACAAGTAGACCTAATGAAAACACCGCTGTACCATACACCGAATCGAAATATGGCATCTAATTTAAATAACTACTGTCCTGAACAAGTAGATGGACAAAGTAGATGCCATCTTGGAAATATGTGCTCTAAAATGGCCCTACAATGCACTCTAATGCAAACTCAATGCATTTAATACTCAACGACAAGTGAAGTTGAGTCTGCAATTTAAAATAACAGCGGTATTACCAACGCATATTACATCTATGTGTTCTTCGTTTTTTAAATCTTTAAGGCAAATCATAGATTATCAGGAAATAATCTCGAAGGCACGAGCACAAAGGAATGGAAATCTGTAGTTTTGCCTAAAGTCTACGAAGAAAAATTACAAAAACTTCAAGCAGAACTCGAGAAAAAGGTAATTTTTTAATTGAAATATCATCATCACCATGCTTATCATCATCATCATCATCATCATTATTCAACTTTGTTAAAAATGAAATCCTGTGACCCTCCCACAAATCGTTGGAGATAGAAAAGGAGAGAGAGAGGTATTCAAGGGTGCCTTAATTTTCACTCTAAATATTTTTTTTCAAACCAACAGACGAATCTTCTAAAAGATATCAAATCGTACCTGAAGGCAGCGGCTCAGAGAGAAACAGAACTCCTCAAGAAACACCAAGATTACGAAGAGAAGGTTTCTATATATTCTATACTAAATTCACAATTTTTTCTTACAAACCAAGTAATTTTACGTGCCAATTAACTGAACAAAAGAAAGCGTGCAAGGGAGTCTAGTAGTAGAGGTCAATGACGCCATCATGCAAACGTCCTATTTGACTTTGACAACTAGTTGGTAAATAAAGAATACTACCGCATCAGATCATTTTGAATCTTGACACGGAATACTCCACTTTTGAATTCACTGTTCAACAGGGTTGGCCTCGATTCCGTATGGAATTACTACCAATTACTGGGTTTCACTTTAAAAGTCTTTGAATCTCATTATCTGGTTCAAATGGTGGTCAAACACTGACCACTATGTGCTGTCAGCCACAAAGAATAGACGTCTTCGGCTCTGAAGTAATATTGCCCCATTTCAGACCACATGTCATTCCCTAGATTATCATTTCTTTGCTTAAAGTTTGCGCTCAGTTATTCGATAATTGAATCTATTCGATTTTGACCCGT